GCATGATCAATTATAATATAAAAATTCTACAATAATAATATTTAGTATTATTATGTAAAATAATAAAGATAAAAATTATTAATTATTAATAATATTACTTTTATAATAATAAAACTATCAATAGTACTATGACTACTACTACTAATAAAATAATTATTATAATATTATTGTTGTTGTTGTTGTTATTTTGATAATAATAATAACAGTTGTCTTATTGCCCCTCCAGAAATGCATTTAGCTTGAGTTGCCTAAATGTCCAGCCTACATCTGTTGACATTTTTAAATTAAAACTAAAATCTTATTTAAAATCAACTCAGCTCTGTAAACACTGACACGGTTGTGGTTTAACCGAACGTTATCTATACTGTTCTTTTTGGCTCTGATAGGATGCGTATAAGTATTACTGTATTGTATGTGTTTGTTGTTTTGTTTTTATGTTTATTTGTGATTATGATTACCTGCCAAGGGACCGCAGATGAAAATTGTACATGGTCCCTTTTCAAATAAATTTAAATAAAATAAAAAATGAACTTAGTAGCTGAATGTGAGTTCTGAACTCAGTAAGCAAAGCAGATGAAGCTCTTCTAGGAACCGACTGATTGTTTGTGTTGGTCAGGATGAGGCTGCTGTGTCTCAATGCGTTCGATTTGTCGGAGGAGAGCATCAGCGCTGGGAACGTCACGGAGTGGATCCATTATCTCAACATCACTCATCCAGAGAGTTTTGCGGCCATCGCTTCAAAGATCGAGCACTGCAGTCTGGAGGCTGAGCTCGACACGGTAAACTACCCATCACTCACCATTCAACGTTTAGAGCTTATTTTACCCTCATCCTCTGTTCAGACCCAAAATTTATTTTCGATTTTTTTTTTAACAATCAACCGTTGATCGTTATGGTATGAGACTTCGGGACTTTTGTCACACTTGATATGGAAACACACAAAAAAAAATTAAGTGGATTGGAGGACTTTATGTGGGTGTAATAAAAAAAGTAACATCCTTCCCCCATAGGGAATCCTGACCCGACCATAGGAATGCTTGGAATGTCGAAAAAAATTTTTTTGAAAAAAAATATTTTTTTTTCAGGATACAATATCTGACGCAATTCTGAAAAGATTTATATCCAGACGATACGCACACAAACAGGTTACGCACACTCTCAT